TAGATGACATATTTCTTCCTGTAAACTTGGACCACTTTGCCAATCTGCTGACCTTTGCAGTGCCCTCGTACAATCTGAGCTTCATCATCCTTTCGAATGGGCATAGATCGAACACTGTACTTCTGTCTCAGCTCTTTAGAAAGAGGGGAGGACATAATTTTCCTCCGAATGTGCGAAGGTGCATTGAAATGCCTATTCCGGTTCTTGCTTCGGTCAGAAGTCACAAAGGGATTGAACTTCATTTTGGCAGGTGCCACTTCACGGATGTTCGCAAAACGGAAGAGCAGAAAATAATTTTTTAAATGAAACATCCTAAAACTTGATGTGATGGTCAGGAGGTGGAGGCAGGAGGATCAGGAGTTCAAGGTGATTCTCAGCTACATAGCCAGTTCAAGACTGAAGCTATATGAGATCCTATCTCAAACAAACAAGCAAGCAAACAAACAAAAGCATTCTAACACAGTGCAATCCCAAGACATTAATTTGATACGTATTGAGGAATGATAGTAAGAAAATGTTAAAAGTTTTGAGTCAAGCATGATGACACACACCTTTAATCCCAGGACTCAGGAGGCAGAGGCAGGTGAATCTCTGTGAGCAAAAGGTCAGCCTGATCTGCATAGGCAATTCTAGGCCAGCCAGTGCAACATGATGAGACCCTGCCTCAAAAAACAAAACAAAACAAAATAACAAAAATTTATTGTTTTCTATAATTGAAGATTTATGTTTTTTTTTTTGTTTTGGTCTTTTTGAGAGAGGATCTCCCTGTAGCCCCAGCTGGCCTGGAACTCACTATGTAGATCAGACTGGCCTTGAACTCAGAGATCCACCTGCCTCTGTCTCCTGAGTGCTGGGATTAAAGGCATGAGCCACCATGCCTGGCCTAATGTTTTTAAATTTTTATTTATTTTCTTTTTAAAAAATTTATGTGTATGAGTGTATTGCATTGATGTAGGTGGTGTATCCATGTCATGCAATGCCCGAGGTCAGAAGAGGGTGTCAGATTTCCTAGAACTGGAGTTACATGGCTATTAGCCACCATGTGGGTGCTGGAAAACAAATCAGGGTCCTCTGCAAGAGCAATTAATGCTCTTAACTGCTGAGCCATCTTTCCAGCTGAATAATTATGTTTTTATAAGAGCTGTAAAGACCCTGAATTTATAACATATAGTAGTCTCACATCTGCATTGGCCTTTGTTGGGTGACAGCATGAGTTGTGTGATGTTCAGGGTTGTGTGTTCAGAACCAAGGCCACAGGGAATTCATGCATGCCATGTAAACAAACCCATCAAACACCTGGAATTATTTATTACACATTTGATTTTCAAATAATTTTTGGTTGTTGCACATTTGTTGCCAAATTTTCACAACCTCACATTCAGTTAGAGCACCTTTTTGTGTGTATTGCCTGCATGTATGTGAGTACACCCATGTCATGCAATGCAGCAGAGGTCAAAAGATGGTTTTGGATTCCCCTGGAACTGGAGTTAAGGATGGCTAATAGCCATCATGTGGGTGCTGGGAATTGAACCTGGGTCCTCTGCATGAGCAGGAAGTGCTCTTAACCACTGAGCCATCTCTCCACCCTCTAGTTAGAGGGCCTTTTATGAAGTTATAACCCACAGTTCAAAAAACAGGGGTTGGGCTGGAGATGTAGTTGGGTTGGTAAATGTTAAATTTGGGGAAAACAGGGAGGAAAAAAGGATTAGGTTTGAGAGAAAGGTGCAGAGGCAAATTATCCTCAGGGTAAGAGATTAACATCTGGGCCAGATAGGTGGCTCAGGTTAAAAGCACTTGCAGAGGACCAAAGCTTGATTCCCAGCACCTTCTGTGGGCACTATACACCTATCAGTATGGATACAGGCAATCAAAAGACTTGTAAAAATAAAAATAAATAAATTATGAAAAAAATTTAACACCTTAGACAGAACACAGTGGGAAGAAAGACTTTAGTCCTGTCAGTCAAAGTGGGGTTCCTACACTTAAAGGTTTCCAAGGGAGAGGGACAGTCCCACACCACAGGGCAGCAGGCTTAGTTAATACTTAATCTGTAGTAAGTGTCTAAAGTCATTTTGCCTCTGATTTCTGGATGGCAAGGGGAAGGGGCAGGATCTGACTCTTTGTGATTGCAGGTTGCCTGTCAGCTCTTTGTGGCAATACCTGGAGGTGAGAGACAGGTATGTGAGGCAGCAGCATTTGTGACCTAACAGTAGAATGAAGCCCTGGGTTCAATCCCCAGCACTTCAAAAAAATTACGAATGATGTCTGTAACCCCAGAACTCAAAAGGTGGAAGCAGGAGGATCAGAAGTTTAAAAGTCATGTTTGGGAGCTGGAGAGATGGCTCAGCACTTAAGAACACTGGCTGTTCTTGTAGAAGACCTGGGTTCAAATCCCAGCACCCACATGGCAGCTAACAACTGTCTATAACTCCAGGGTATCCGACAGCCTCTTCTGTCCTCCTTGGGCATTGCACAACACAGGTGCACTTACCTATATGCAGGCAATACATGCATACACATAAAATAAAAATAATAGGCCAGGTGTGGTGGCGCATGCCTTTAATCCCAGCGCTTGGGAGGCAGAGGCAGGC